GAGGAGATTAGATCCGTGAGATAACGATGTAATAGAGGTTTTTGGACAGACAAAGGGAAGTTTGGCGGTAGATATCTAATGATAGAGGGCTTTATAAGAAATGAAGGAAGAGCAACTGTAGATGAAGTGGTAGACACTAAAGACCCACTTTGCATTCAGAAGTCTACTGAGTACTCTGATAATGCAACACACTTCTTTACACCTCTAAAAATTACCTTTGACTTTAGGTTGTTCATGACTAACAGGGTAGTGTAGTGAGAAATGCTTGGAATCTAGAGTTAATTTGTTCTTTAATATTTTTCTTGAAAGAGTAATGCATGTTTATAAGAGATAATTTTTTTAAAGAATTATTTTATTTAACTATTTATTTATTTATTTATTTTAATTTGACCAGAGTTACCAGGGCTGGGACTCAAACTGTAGTTGAACACGTGAGAGTCCAGTGCCCTTAACCACCATGTCACCTGCTGGACCCTAAGAGATAAATTTTAAAATAAAATTAGGGAAAAGAGAAAAACATACCTGTAGTCCCTTTATAGAAAAATAAAAACCTCAGTGTGTGTAGTACAGATACAAATGACTAAATATGAAATAAAACAAAAATTTAAAAAAGAAAGATAATGACTGTTAACATTTTGACATTTGAACCAGCAGATGGCATAGTGGTTATGTTGCTGGACTCCCACATGGCCAAGACTCAGACCCAGCGGCTTGAAACTTATACGGGAATGTGTGTGTGTGTGCCCAAAATCCCAGAGGAGAATGGAAGAGAAAGGAGTGTGACATGGCCATTCCCTCTGGGGGGTGGTTTCTTGCTTTCTGTCTCCCTATTTGTCTCTCCGGTGAGCTCACGTGCCCTATAGCAAAAATGTCTAAATTTTTTCTGTCTTTTACATTTCCTACAGATTCTTTATTTGCTAACATTTTTTGAACAGTTGCAGAAAACTGGGTTTTAATTTGACAGTTACCTGTGCAAAATAGGGCAGTTCATTTAACCTCTTAGGGTTTTTATTTTCTTACAGGTAAAACAAGGATCATGTTATCCTTCCTATCTTCTTCACTGGCTATTTTGCAATAAAAGAAGAGAAATGCTTTAAAGGCTATAAACCTCAGGGGGAAAAACACAAATATAAATTTTGGTATTTCTATGCTGGAAAAAATGGTTAATAAGGAAAGATAGCAAATAAAGAGCCCAAACTGAGTTATGTCTGAGAATTTGGAGAGGAATGAAGAAAACTGTGAAACACTCAACAGAATGCCAAAGCAGGGTTTAGAACTTAAACACTTGCATATGTATGTTAAGTTGTGCACTGTGCATTTAGGCATCAATTGCTGTATGGTCTCAAAGCTATGATTTCTGTCCTTCCCTATGGTAGTCACTCTAGGTAGAATTCTTATTTGAAGAGACGCTTCTAGAGATTCAGCTTGTAGAATAGATATTACCAATAGGGAAAGTTGACAAAGTCTTTGCAAGTTCTAATATCTGCAGTATTTCTCAGGAAGTAGGAAATAGTGAAAAGTATGAAATGATGCAGAGAGGGGACCAGCAGGTGGCATAATGGCTATGTTGCTGGACTCCCATATAGTCGACCGTGGTTTGAGTCCTGGACCCAGTGGCTTAAACTCATGCCAGGTGTGTGTGTGTGTGTGTGTGTGTGTGTGTGTGTGTGTGC